AACAAATAATGTATGTTATTTATTAATAGCAAATAGTATAATCACTATAATATTCTTTGACTTTTTCCATTAAACACGCTGCTATTATGTTATAAATGGAATTGTTGTACAATTTTGTTTTATAAATTGTGATGTTTGTGATGTATACATATAGTAGTGCTATGTACTTATGACGAACATTCATTGGAGTATTGTTTCACTTGGTTTTGATAGGCGTGTATTAATGGTTTCTGAAATATATTACTTGGCCGTAGTTTGATGGAAAAAAACCATTGTGTTTAATGTTTGCTGTTGGTTGAAGTAAATGTTTTATCTATGGATGGATTTTAGTTTTAAACCAAACAAATGTTATCATGGAATATGCGACATAGCTAATGTCTGAGATGGTTATGTACTTGTTACAATATGCTATTCAGTGTCATGGTAGTCACAGTTTACGGACAGTATATTTACTAGAAAGGTTATTTGGAATCACATCACCAATTCATACAGTTTGAGATTATGTTATTAATAGTGATTGCATTTGTGTCTTTACAAAGAAAGTTTGAGTGATAGGTTTTCAGAGATATTGTATAAATAAATATTACGTTCAATACATTGTAAGTGAGTGGGTGAGTTAAGTTTTACGCTGCACTCAGCAATATTCCAGCTATATGGCGGCGGACTGTAAATAATCGAGTCTGGACCAGACAATCCAGTGATCAACAACATGAGCATCGATCTGAGCAATTGGGAACCGATGACATGTGTTAACCAAGTCAGCGAGCCTGACCACCCGATCCCGTTAGTCGCCCCTTAAGACAAGCATGGGTTACTGATGGCCACTGCATTGTAAGCCTATAGTGATGTTCTGTACTTGATTGTTTTTGTATACCTGTATATTAGGCTACCCCACCGCCCCCCTACCTGTATACATAATACAATACATCTTTAGAAACTTCTGCTTCTCATTAGAGACTAACGGGATCGGGTGGTCAGGCTCGCTGTCTATAGTTGACACATGTCATAGTATCCTAACTGCATAGATAGACGCTCATGCTGTTGATCACATGATTGTCTGGTCCAGATTCGATTATTTTCAGAGTGGTGCCATAAAGCTAGAATATCACTTAGAAGTGAATGGCATAGAACTAAACTCACTAACTATTTTGGGGTATTTTGCTGTTTGGATGTATGGGAATGATGCGGAAATTTGTGGGATTTTGGTAGTAACATAATAAAGCTGGATTCAAGTGTTGGTTAAATGTCACTAACCTGGATAACTTTTCCCTTGACAGTTAGCCGAGTGTTGAATGTTGAGGGCAGGGCATCAGTGACGTTGGTAACTGATTTTGTCATGGAAATCGAAATGCATTGTGGCTAGGATCTGAAACGTCATATGTTTATATATTTTATGGTTGTTAATATGAACAGACAACATATATTAGATGGATTAGAGTAAATACACATGTGTGTTTATATGTGTGTCAACCAAGTCAGCAAGCCAGACCACTCGATCCCGTTAGTCAGGTCGGGGAGAACCTTAAAACCTATAATAGTTAGATCGAGCTATAGTAGTTCACATGGAAGAGATCCTTTAAGAACAACTTCCGGCACCGCGGTCATGGCATTGAATCGTCGTACCCATATTTGAAGCTACTTGCACCACAAACCCGAGCGTTTGTGATACATGTATACATGTTTGTATATCCCACTTCTGACACCATGTAGTATCCCTTGGGTTTCTTTATACAAGTTCGTCCAGAGTGAGTGAGTGAGTGAGTTATTATTTAACGTCACATCGGCAATATTTCAGCCATATCGTGACGAGAACACTTGACATTAAATAGAATATATATAGAAATAATAAAACCTGTCGACGAAGGACAGTAAAACAACTAGAATATCATAATTACAACTAAAACTAGTACTGAGAGTTCAAACTGATAGCACTATTTGGACAATACAATTTAAAAACAAGCTATAGATCGCCAACACCAGAAGGTAGATCACCAAACTAGGGACAGTTCGTCCAGAAGGTGGTCTTATTAAATCCAGGGAATGAGAAACGAACAGCAATATCATGCCGACATCTTTATTCCCGCTCACGATACACATCTCGGTAAAAGTTCCGTCCGTAACCCCCGCTTGAAATGATAGGCAGCTAGCTGTATTTGATGGAGAATTGAAATGTACAGGGTAAGTAATATTTTCAAGTAGAAAACTATTGATATATCAATACAAAATATTTGGAACGAAATGAGTATCGAACCTGTGATTGCACCACGGAAGTGGAAGAAGCCAAGCGTGAAAGCTCTCAACAGCGCTCTATAATGTACACAAGGAGTTGTCGCTGTGGGGAGCTACAAGCAAATCACATGATGTAAATGGCACGACTAATTGTACTCACCTTTATAATGGGTACTGTGCTCTGATGGCTTCTATCAAAGCTTCAAAGGATGGTCTGTTTTTAACTACACATGACCGCCATGTTTTCAGCAAAATGGTGTCCGAAGTTTTTTCGTGTAGAAAGCGTTCAGGGAAGCTTCACTCACCACCACCGATTTTCGATTAAATTAGTGCAAGCTTTGCTCTCTGGATCTGGAACAAGTGAATTATGTTTTTGATATGTACTCAACATACATTATAATTACTAACAGAATATATAAGTATATAATGAGGGAAATATTTACCAACAAAATTGTTCGAGTGATTAACCGTCTCGTGAACGTATCCTAGATCACTGATTCCTCTATATGCAGCCCACTCGTCTGATTGTACTCCCCTTCTGTATGTGCCTCTCAATTAGTGGGAGCAATGTCTGGGCATCGCGGTGCTCCACAGGGACTAGGAAGAAATCACGGGTTTCTCTGCAAATCCCCCCAAACACCCAAGTTCCCTCCACGATTATATTTGGGATGACCGAATTTGGCCTCGTCAATCTCAACGGTGCAATTAGCACCGGATTCCTCTGTCGCAGCAATGCAGACCTCTCTGCAATAATTATAATAATCGCAAATTGTTTCTCTACTGGTGCCTTTACCTTCAGCCGGAATTGTAGTCTCTTCCACACAGTATCAGTAAAGTTTTCCTAATGCTTAAATTGCTAGCCTCAAACCACGTTCCCTTTCTTAAAGGGACACAATTGCAACCACTTTTTTTGCATTTGTTTTTGTTGCATTGAAAACGGTACTGGGGATACGTATGAGATTTGGCACAAATTTTTTGGAGTTTGGTTATGGGATCAGAACAGTGACGACATTTACCAGATGTGGGTAACAGTCCTATAGTCTGACAATATTTAATTGCCGAGGGTTCCGAACCTAACTTTTGGCACAAAGAAAAGAAATTTTCGCCACTAGAATTACTACCACTCTCATCCTGGAGTGTGGAAGTGCTCGGAACATCAGTTACGAAATCAAATTTATCCACAAGGGTTGGGTCTCAGAATAAATCATCACTATCCGAGGATGGAAAAGTCTCCCTGTGCTTTGTTTGTCACTATCAAATAGATCGCGGGATTGATCGATCTTCCTCTTGTTAGACATAGTCCTGCACACCAATAATGTGCTCACACTGCTCAATTCAATTTAAATAAGTGATGGAAAAAGCAACACATCCTGTGGGAAACGAAACTTACAAGCCATGCAGCATATGAAACAGACAATAGTCACGCTTAAATCGGGATCAATTGACAGTGTCATGGATTACTGGTTTCAGTTTGGTTAAATGTTTAATATGACAAGCACACAAGCTATAATGAACAACAGCAAAGAACTCATTAATGTATTCACATTTTAATGCGATGCTCACATGATCACGGCAATAACACACGCTTATATGAAATCGACAATAAGTTTTTATTATGTCAGTCTCATTCATAAGTAACACATAAGCTCAAAACGATAATATTCACTTCAGCTGGCATCGTCCTTTGTAGCACAGAGGTAACACCAGTGGACTATCAAGTCAGCGGCACGGGTTCGATTCCAGCCTTAGTTAGTTATGTTCATTTGCATGATAGAATGTTTCCTTTGCACATTATAATTAGTTGATACTTATTACTATATATTCTCTCTCCCAGTTTCCGGAAGCAGCAGAGCAAGAAGAAGGGATGTAGTGCGGGGGGTGAGGTTGGATGTGATTGAGTAGGTGAAAGAAAATAGACGCTAGCAGCTAAATCTTTGATAAAATCTTTTTATGCCCAAAAACTTCCGAATCCCCTTTAAATGCTTAAAAAAAATAAAAATCAATAAGCGCTCTTTTTTAGAAATTAATATCTATTCTTAAGCATAGGTAGGGGATAAAAAAACCGGGGGTTACGGGCGGAAATCTTTCCCAAATTGGGACTGTAGGCAGATTGGTGTGTGACCTCTCAATTCGTGTACAGGTTGTCAAACTTTCCAGTCCACATCGGTATCACAGCCTCACAGGCAACCGCACCTGTGTACGGTCTGTCCAAGTTTTAAAACCTGGCTAAGGCCGCTTCACTATCTGCTTGTCGTCCGCCCTAAGTCGGAGCGACGGTATTGCACGGACTTCACGTGGTTGAAACTGACACTGGGAGAGCAGAAGCTTTGCTCTTTACTACGAAGGCCTAGAGGGGTCAAAATGTTTTTTGAACTTTTTTTTTTTTTAAATTGATAATAACCACTTTTGTTCTGGTAATAATCACTCCGCGACACATCAGGACTTTTGTATCTTTCCTCCTGACTATACCGATGCATGTCCCCACAGTATCTCTATCAGCAATACTCTGACCTTGAAATTTGGGTTTTTGAAATTGACGCCTGTTGTTCAACGCCACAGCAATATTGAAACTCTATAGCGGATAAATATATGTATTTAGACTTATCGCGAGTTTTTTTCTTATTGACAAATCACAATGACTTTGATAATTCTGTTGTCTTTAAATTTTGGCATTACGAGAGACATCTATTCAAACTAGGGCCAAATTTATGACAAACCTGCAATTTGGTTCAGTTTTAAGCATCAAAGTTCAATGCTCGGGGACTCGAACTCGAAATGGGTCAGAATAACAGCCGTTTATCCTTACATCCTCTGTATCGCGGAAAATAAAATCTTCAATATAACTTGTTGTAAGTTCCAGGACTACAAATACCAATTGCGCTTTTAATGGCTTTCAGTATATGTATTATGAATTGAGAAATAGTTTTAGTCACGACATGGCTGAAATATTGCCGATGTGACTTAACTCACTCACTCACTCATGAATCACGTTCTCATTTAATTATACTAACTGAAAACCTCCTGATAAACAAATCATCGAGAGACGTTTTTACAAAACCAAGCAGTATGACATATATAAAGCCAAAAAATTGTAAATATTATCAAGAAAAACTATTTCATGGAACTGACACCAGGTCACGACGACCCAGCACGTGCAGTCAGTGAGTTTGCCACTGAGGTAGAGTCTCCTGGGTGACGCAGCACGTGCAACGTTTGGTGTGAGACTCTTGCCTCCACCAGTGTCGAAATGAGATCGCAGTGACAGACCTTATTTTGGAAAATAATGTCGAGTATAACGTAAACGCTTTCAAAAAATGAAAACGTTCATTTTTCAAAAGGAATACTAATTTTGATAAGGCTGAATATCGCCGATGTTCAAAGGTGAGTGAGTTAATATTTAACGTCACGTCGGCAATATCTCAGCAATACCCTGACGAAAACAATTTTGAAGAATAAAACCAGTCGACGATGGACAGTAAAGATACTAGAGTATAATAGATGTGAATATAAAACTAGCATGTAAAACTAAAACAGTATAAAACACGGTCCATAGATCGCCAACGACTGCAGGTAGATCACCATGGGCCGATGTTCCAAAGAATATAAGAAATGTTTGGATACACATATAAAGAAAGATAAGAATGAATTGATCAGCCCCCTAGAGAAAGTTAGAAAATACCAACAAAAAGTAACAAATGTAATAATTATGAGAATTTCCAGGCTGCAGTGGTAGAGTTGGTCAGAAGAAGATGATTTGTTCATGTCTTTAATAATAAAGTGCTGTTATTATAATATATATTGTTCATAGATAATGTAGGTTATTTATAAATACCAATATTTTTAAACCTATCCTATCTCACGATTCTCTCTCTGCTTCGACACTGAGTGGAACGAATGTAAACTTCTCCCTGAAGGCCTCTCTTGTCCATACACCCGTGTGGCACCCCTTGAAGAGCAACCTCCTCGTGGTGGGTGGTGGGTAACGCCAATGGCTCTTCGCCCCTGTGTGGACCCGGGGTCGAATAGGTCCACAGCACCCCATTGCTGGTCGTAAGAGGCGACCAAATTGGGCAACCCGTTTGCATCCCTGTGTCGGCAGAGGAAGGGAGTCTGGTGGTTGAGGATGACGGAACCGGCAATAGTGTTCACTAATCCAACACACCACTTCGACCCTAACTTTGCCTAGACGGGTGGTAGAATAGGCCCGATTCTACCAATCGGCTGGTCACGCCTTGCCCTGTGCATGGAATGTCTATACAAAACGTGGTATTACATAACACTTTTGACCATGTTCAAAATGTTAACACTATTCTACGAAACAAATTAGCCTCGCAGACCCATGCACAGAAGGCGGTGGCTCATGGTACCAATCTGGTGATGCTGACCTCCGATTTCTGTACGTCTCCAATTGATTGTCATGGACAGAACCATCCTGATCTTTAATCTGGTAGGCAGCTACAGCATTTCATGTCAAATTCGCTGGAGTATAACATCCCCTTATCCCTGGTCTTTGCAGCTCGGAGACCCGCTGCAATATAAGATCGTCCTTGTTGACACTCCACGGTGGGTGGGGAGAGGGGATGCCGAACCACATTACTCACAACATGGCTTCCCAATACCCCGGTTCAAAACGAAGACATATGGATACCGACAATTCCTCGTCTGACGAGAGTACGCCCCCCCAGACCTGACTACTGGCCACGCTTCCTGATTATTGAGGCTTGTGACAAGCAAACTTTGCAATTGAACCCTTTTGCAATCTCCAAAGGTATCGCTGGTATCTGCGGAGAGGTTGCCAATGTCACAAAGCTCCGATCTGGCTCTCTCCTGATAAAATGTACCCGGAAACACCAATCTGTAAATCTTCTCAAAATACAAGAATTTGTAAATATCAAGGTCGCTGTCTCAGCACACAAAACCCTTAATTCGTGTAGAGGCATTGTACGGGACAGAGCTCGATGCCTGTCTGACATGACTGAAGAACAAATTGTCAAGGAACTCTCTCAGCAATCCGTCACAGCCGTCAAACGATTTACCTTCAAAAAGGATGGTGTTGTTCAACCAACGAACACCTTTCTCTTCACGTTCGCGCGAGCAAACATTCCTGACTCGATTAGAGCTGGTTATTGTAGCATTGGTGTGGAGGTGTATGTCCCCAATCCACTCCGGTGCTACAACTGCCAAAAGTTTGGACATGGATCCAAGTCCTGTCGTTCCTCTGCTGTCTGTTACCGCTGTGGTGACAAGCATGAGGGCAACGACTGTACTAAGGCAGTGAAGTGCACAAACTGCGGTGGTAACCATATGGCCTCTTCCAAGTTCTGCCCAGTATGGAAACGCGAATCCGAGATACTGAAGATAAAACACAAAGAAAATATCTCCTTTCACGAAGCAAAGAAGAGGGTTGCAAGTCTAACTGCAGCCCCTTCAACCATCACCTACTCTGCTGCTGTCTCCCGTCCTACCATCACTACTGCAACCATCTCATGTCAGACCGACCTGACATGGGTCACGTCTTCCCAGCCAACTCAACTCAACACAACTCAGCCTATCTCAGCCACTCCATCTCCAACGCCAAAAGTCAAAACTTCTGAATCACAAACACCAGAACAAATGCCAAAACCAGAGACAGAAACTGCGCGCAGAAAAAGGGAAAAAAAGAGGCTAGAGAGACTAAAGCAACTCGAACAACCGCCAAACACAAAACCAAAGGCCACCTCTCCCTCAGAGGTCCCCATCGAGGTCCATAACTCCTTTGGCCCTCTGGATATGGAGGTAACTTCATCTCCACCAGACACCAATAGGAGTTCATCAAACGCTTTCTCACGTTCACGTGACATGTCACCATGAATCCACAAAACATTATCCAATGGAATTGCAGAGGACTTAAGAATAATTATAATGAATTACAGCTATTGATTCAAGACTTCAAACCATCTGCGTTTTGTCTCCAAGAAACCTACCTAAAAAGGACTGATAATTTGACATCCGTCGGTACAGTTCCTACAACTCCTTTTCTCCTCCCGGTGTAAAAGCTACAGGAGGCACTTCTATCCTGGTGAGGCAGGGCACCCTCCATAGCCCTGTCCCACTTAACACCAACCTACAAACTGTTGCTGTCCGCATAACTCTGAACATAGGGTTTACACTATGTTCCCTCTATCTCCCTCCCACCTCAACTGTCCGCCTATCAGATCTTCAGAACTTATACGATCAACTCCCAAAGCCCTGCATAATCATGGGCGACTTCAACGGCCATAACCCCCTATGGGGGAGTAATGATACAATTAGTAAGGGAAAGATCCTTAAAGAGTTTCTCTCCAATAATGATGTATGCATCTTCAACGATGGATCAAACACCTATCTCCATCCTGCCACTGGATCATACTCTGCTCTCGATCTATCACTTACAGATTCTAATCTTTTAAATGAGTTCGAATGGTCGGTCCATGACGACCTTTGCGGAAGCGACCACTTCCCAACAATTCTTACTCCTATCAACCCCACGGATGAACCACCATCAACAAGATGGAATTTTACTAAGGCCAACTGGCCTTTATTCCAAACCCTATGTTCAGAAAAACTTAGGCTGGACAACTTCAGGAATGTTCCTGACCCCATGGAACTATTTTCAGACGTCCTAAATGCCATCGGAGACAAAACTATTCCTAAGTCCTCTGCAAACCCGCACATACGTAAACCATGGTTTGATACAAACTGCAAACAAGCTAGGAAAAATAGGAAGAAGGCGGAAAAATATTTCCGACAACATCCGACAGTGCATAACCTGAATGCTGTTAAAATGACAAATGCCAGAGCAAAACATACCTTCAAACAAACTAAACGCCGCTCATGGAGGAAATATGTGTCCAAAATCAACTCCCGCACACCCATGTCCAAGGTGTGGAACATGATTCAAAAGATCAAGGGCAAAGGGTCAAAATCAGGAGTTCACCACCTGAAAGATGGCGACTCCCTTCTAACAAATAAATCTGAAATTGCAAACAAACTTGGCGAAACTTTGGCAAACCACTCCTCCTCATCAAATTATAACCCTCAGTTCAGGAAATATCAAACCCAACAAGAAAGGAAACCAGTCAATTTTAACTCTGATAATGGGGAGGATTACAACGAAACGTTTTCCCTCCATGAATTACGTACTGCCCCAGGACAGGCTCACGACACTGCGGCAGGAGCTGATGAAATCCATTATCAGCTTCTGAAACACCTCCCTGACATAGTGAGTGAGTGAGTGAGTTAATATTTAACGTCACATCGGCAATATTTCAGCCATATCGTGACGAGAACAGTTGATATTGAAGTGAAATATATGTATATTATAAAAAAAACTGCCAACGAAGGGCAGTAAAACAACTAGAATATCACATATTCAGATAAAACTAGTAATAGAGTCTAAAACAATATCAAAATGGACAACACAATATAAAAATGGGCTATAAGATCACCAACAACTGAAAGTAGGTCACCATACTAAGGTCCATGGGGACTTACAGTACCTTTGCTACCTGCATGGACCCTAGTCGGATTTACACCATCCCTTCAGCCGCTGGTGATTGTAGGATAATTTAGCCAAAATCTAAATGAACGAAAATACTACGTTTAAAAACTTGGTATGTGCAAATTCTACTTTTGAAGTTTTGGGACTTACGTACCCTCTCAGGAGGACAATAATTTTACGCTACTTCAACCCCCTTTGAGGGTACAGCCACTAACAATCTAAGTTACTAATCTAAACTACCAATCATTAAAATACATCTATCTACAGAACATGTTAATCAGAATTCATCAATGAAGTCAATTTCTTTTAAAAAACCAATAACTAAATGAGAATTAACAGTAGTAAAAAGATCCTTAAGTGTTTGTACACTGAAATACTTATCCCTTATGATGGAGAATTCAACAGAGTCAAGCAGGATATGCTTGACCGTAACTCTCTCATCACAAGGGATACAAAACGGAGGATCTTCACCTTTTAGCAAGTATTTATGAGTATAACGCGTATTGCCAATGCGACATCGTCGCATAATGACCTCTTGAAATCTGGACTGGCAACCCAAGTAAGTATAACCGATGGTTGGTTTAATTGCATGTAATTTATTGATACCTACTTGGGCATCCCACTTCTTCTGCATCAGATCACGGATGTAAGTTCTAATGCAAGCCTTGTAATCAGAGTAAGGAATGAGAAGTGGTGTCACAGATTTGTTGAGTGCTGCCTTAGCAGCAAGATCGGCCATTGTATTCCCAGAAATGCCAACGTGGCTGGGTAACCAACAGAAGACGATGTCGCACTGTCCAGTAGCAAGTTCATTATATAATTCGATTATTTCAATTAAAAGTGGATGTTTGCAAGAGAGATTTTTAATAGCCTGAAGGCAAGAAAGAGAGTCAGAAAAAATTATATACTGTTTATGTTTGGGATGTCTTTGAATATATTTAAGAGCTGTTAAGATGGCGTTTGCTTCTGCTGTAAATATAGAGCTGTAATCCGGTATTCTAGAAGATATTGTTCTGGATCCAATGACAGTGGCACATGCAACCGCACCACCATCCTTGGACCCATCCGTAAATAACGATTTGTATGTATTATATTTATTTCGTAATTGACTAAATTCTTGTTTATACTGTAATTCATTTGTTTCTGATTTTTTAAATGTAGTTAGTGTTAGGTCAACTTGTGGCCTAACCAATTGCCAAGGAGGAGAAGAAAGTAGACGAAAAGGAGATATAATCTCCAGCTCAATTCCGGCAGCAGCAATAAATGGTTGAATTCTGTGTCCAAGAGGCGGAATAAGTGAAGATTTCTTGTTGTATAAATCCTCATAGAGGGGATTGAAGACACAGTTATATGCAGGGTTAGACTTATTAGCATATAACTTTGTTATGTACTGTAAGGACAGTTTAATTCGGCGTTGTTTTAGGGAAGGCTCGTCAGCTTCAACGTAAAGACTGTCAATAGGTGCAGTTCGGAAAGATCCAAGACATAGTCTTAGACCTTGATGGTGAATAGAATCAAGCACTTTGAGATTACTTTTACAAGCTCCACCATAGATGATGGAACCATAATCAAGCTTGGAACGGATCAGCGATCTATACAAGTGTAGGAGGGTTGACTGATCACCTCCCCACTTAGAGTTAGAGACAACTTTCAAGAGATCCAAAGCTTTCAGACATTTTGTTTTAAGATATTTGATATGAGGTAGGAATGTAAGATGATGGTCAAATATGATACCTAAGAATTTAGCTTCTTTAACTACTTTAATGGGAGTACCCGATAAATGTAAGTCTGGGTCTTTATGTGGTTTATACTTACGACAGAAATGGATGCAGTTAGTTTTAGACTTAGAAAACTTAAAGCCATTTTGTTCGGACCAATCATTGATTTTATTGAGACAGACTTGCAACTGTCTCTCAATTGTGCGCATATTTTTACCTCGACATGAAACATTAAAATCATCGACAAATAACGACCCATCAATAGAGTCGTTTAAAACTTGAGATAAGCTGTTGATTTTTATACTAAACAACGTTACCGACAATATGCTGCCTTGTGGTACACCCTGATCTTGATCGTAAAATTCAGACAAGGTGGATCCCACTCGAACCTGGAAATGCCTGTTTGACAAAAACTGTGATATGAAATTTGGCAAACGGCCTCTCAAACCCATGTTATGAAGATCTGTTAAAATTCCATGTTTCCAGGTGGTATCATAAGCTTTCTCTAAGTCAAAAAAATATAGATACGGTGTGTTGTTTATTAATAAAACCATTCTTCACAAAAGTTTCCAGTCTAACCAAATGGTCAATGGTACTTCTGTTTTTCCTAAACCCACATTGGATATCGGTAATCAGTTCATTTGTTTCTAAGTACCATATTAATCTGTTATTGACCATTCGTTCCATGGTCTTACAAACACAACTAGTAAGCGATATTGGCCTATAGTTAGAAGGATCACTGTGATCGCGGCCAGGTTTCGGTGTAGGAATGACGACAGCATTACGCCATGATGAAGGAAAATTTCCCGTTGTCCAGATGTAATCGAATATATTTAATAAAGTTTCTAAACAGGAATCCGGTAAATGTTTAAGTAACTCGTCGCCTGAAAACCAGAGTGTTCTAAGTCACAAAAACCTATTTTCGAGGAATTCGATCTTGAAGTTTAGGACAACAATATCTTTTTCATTTTTCAATCGAATTCTTTCAAATTTTGCACTTGCATGTGACATGTTAAACAGGATCAGAAAATATCAAATTATATGCTCAATCTATTGAAATAAATAAGAAATCCAAGAAAGATGATTGGAGATGGAACACTTGACAAAAGAAAATCGTGATTTTTCTCAAAACCAAAGTGTTCTAAGTGTCAAAAAACACAGCTAAAACTCAGCTTTATTATATTATATCGATATTTGATTGTTATTTCCTTTTTACCTTGTTATTTTTTTGTCGTTTAAACCTGTTTTTCTTTCATAAGAGCTATATTTAATTAGATAAAGAAGAAATAAGAACAGAGTTAAAATGTTCCATCTCCATGATGACAATCACTTCAAAATTGGTTAATCTCGATGTCACGTGATCAAATTGTGCTTGCCCATTGGTCAATTGACAACTTAGAACACTCGAAAATTAACAACATGTGATTTTCATGGAGATAGAACAAAGTTTGTGTTTGAAAAACCACTTTTACAGCTAGATAGCACTGTAAAACGTTGCTAGAGTAATAGATTATGCTCTAAAACCTACCCTGAGCATACTAACTCTAATTTTGTCAAAAGTGGACTTAGAACACTCTGGTTTTCAGGCGACGAACTGATAATGAATATTATCAGAACCTGTAGCAGTATCATGAGCCTGCCCCAAGGCAGTATGCAGCTCATGAATGGAGAAAACCTCATTATAGTCCTCCTCATTATCTGAAGCAAAATTGAGTTTCTTTTTTCTGCGTGTTCTTTAGTTTTTTGAAATTTCGGTGTAAAATTTGATGAAGATGAATGTTGAGCTAACGTTTCTCCCAATTTATTTGCTATATCAGATTTACTGGTTAAGAGTGTGTCACCATCCTTCAGATGATGAACACCAGATCTTGAACCTTTACCTTTTATCCTTTGCACCATATTCCAAACTTTGGACATAGGTGTTCGAGAATTAAGTTTGGATACATAGTCCCGCCAAGACTGCCGTTTGTTTTGTTTGAAGGTACGACGTGCCTTCGCATTAAGTATTTTGAATTTATTCAAGTTATGGACAGTTGGGTGATGGCGAAAATATTTCTCTGCCTTTTTCCTCGCTTTTCTAGCATGTTTACAATCTGAACTAAACCATGGTTTCCGCACATGTGGACTCGTAGAGGACTTTGGTATACAATGATCAGCTATATCATTTAAAGCGTCAGAAAATACCTGAAGAGGATCAGCTACATCACTGAAAAAGGAGTTTTCAGTTTTGATTTACACATAGTTTCATACAAGGACCAGTTAGCCTTGGAAAAATTCCATCTTGTGTAAGATGGAGAATCAGCTGGGTTTATTTCTGAAAGTATAGTTGGGAAGTGGTCACTTCCACAAAGGTCATTATGGACTGACCAATCAAATTCATTGAGAAGGTTAGAGTCAGCCAGAGCCAAGTCCAAAGAAGAGCAAGTGCCGGTTGCAGGATGGAGGTAAGTGTGAGAATCATCATTATATATACAGAGATCATTATCTGAGAGGAAATCTTCTATTATTTTACCTTTAGTGTTAGTGTTTGTACTACCCCAGATCGGGTTATGACCATTTAGGTCACCCACAATAACACAGGGTTTCGGAAGTTGATTATAGAGCGATTGGAGATCAGCAAGATGAATTGCTGACGAAGGCGGAATATATAGTGAGCATAATGTAAAAGCCACGTGAAAAGTAATCCGCACTGCAACGGCTTGGAGATTAGTTTTAAGTGTTAAAGGACTATGGATAATACCCTGCTTAACAAGGATTGAAGATCCTCCAGTGGCCCTGTCACCAGGAGGAGAAAAAAGAATGATATCCAATGAACTGACGTAAATTAAAATTGTCCACCTGCTTCAGGTAGGTTTCCTGTAAGCAGAAAGCTGATGGTTGTAAATCCTGAATCAATAGCTGTAATTCATTGAAGTTGGTCTTTAGTCCTCTACAATTCCATTGGACAATACGTGAAGAAACTATGTCTTTGGTGGGTTGATTGGGGATCTACCCCTTGTATTGTTTTTGGGCGACAAGCTATGAGCCCTGTACTGGATGTTTTCAGACACATCTATGTCTTCGAGAGATCCAAACTTGGATTTTGTCTTGTGTCCCTTTTGAGGCTCTGCCACTATGGTATTTTTTTTTGACGATTCGTTTATTGGTTTGTTTTTCTGTTTTGACACTTGCTTCCCATTAATTCCAGATGGAAGTTTAGAAGAAGACTTTGATGATGATTGTTCCTGGGAAGATGGCCGAGATTCAACTTCTGCTCTAGCAGTTGTTGTGGATGTTGATAGAACGGTTTGTGTTGACTGGTCAGGAGAGTAGAGCTTCGGTGCATCAGAGTCAACCCATGTCAAATTATTCTGGCATTGTGTTGACGAAGTGGACACAGTACAGGTTACATTTTGATGTGTTCCGGATCTCGTAACTGAAGCATAGGACTCATTTGGTTCTGGTGTCTGAACAACAAGTTTTTTGGCATCAGCAAAACTAAGATTCCTTGTGAATTTAATTTTATTAATTGCCATTTGTTGTTTCCAGATTGGACATTCTTTTGAAAAAGAGGAATGAGTACCAGAGCAGTTAGTGCATTGTTTAAAGGTGTTATCACAATCTTCAGTAACATGGGTTTTTTGGCTGCAGTGAGCACATGTAATAGAATTTGTGCAGTTGTTTACACCATGACCATACTTTTGACATTTGAAACATCTCAATGGGTTGGGAATATAAATATCAACGTTGAGATGACAATACCCTGCTTTAATTGATTTTGGAGCAGTTGGATAAGAAAAATGGAATAGGTAAGTGTTTGTTGGTTTAGTCTCAGAGTTTTTCCGTGTTGTGAATCGTTTCACAAATGTCACTCCTTGTTCTTTCATTTCAGAGACGATGTCCAATTCACTCATATCTGCAAATAGTTGATCCCGGTCTCTGACGATTCCTTTGCTTGTGTTCAAGGTTCTATGTGGAGATACCGAAACCGGTATTCCAACAAACAGCTGAGTTGACATCAAATTTGTTGATTGCGGTTTCCTGCTGCATTCGATGAGCAAAGAGCCTGAGCGCAATCGTTTGATATTGCGGACCCCACCTGCAATACCATGTACACCCTTTGACACTGCAAAAGGGTTTAATTTTAAAGGAGATTTGTCAACAGTCTCGAGAACTAAAATCGTGGCCAATATTCAATTGAGGTAGACGGTCGTTGGTCGTCATCATCACTGTCCAATTGACGTTTGTTTCGTTTTTGGGGGTTTTGGTAGTCCATAGTAAGCGTAGAAGGTTCATCATCCGAGCTCCCCACCCGCCATGGAGTATCATAAAGACAATGCTAAAAACAAGTGGATATCCGACTTGCAGCACCAAGGATACTCGGATGATATACTCCAGCAGAAAAACTAAAAGTTTAATTATTCCACTGAATTGGCCCATGAGCCACCGCCTTCTGGGCATACGACTCTAGGCAAAAAGGAACAATCGTTCTCATTTAAAGTCAATTCAAAAATTGTGAAATCGTTTTGTTTACCAAAGCCCAAAACAGGATCATTTAAATAAATCAAATTTGTGCAATAGAAAATAGAATGCACAGGGCTTGGCATGACCAGCCGATTGGTTGAACCGGGCCCATTCAACCTCCCGTCTAGGTGAAGTAAGGGCCGAAGTGGTGTGTTGGGCAAAGGAACACTGTTCCTGGCTCCAGTGCCCTCAACCACCAGAATCCCGTCCTCCACCGACACAGGGGCGCAACCCACGGCAAACGGGTTGGTGGACCAAAATATCCCCCCCGGGTCCACAACGGGGGGTTGAAGGGCGCTTAGCGTTACCCAGCACCCACCACGAGGAGGTGGCCCTTCATGGGTGCCTCCCGGACATAGGCTTGGAAACACTCCTAAATATATTTGATGACATCTGGACATCCGGACACTTCCCCCCTTCGTGGCACAATGCCATCATCATCCCTATACCAAAACCCGGTCGCGACCATACTGATCCCTCAAACTACCGTCCTATATCACTAACTAGCTGTGTTTGCAAAACCATGGAGCGCATGGTCAACAATCGATTAATCTGGTACTTGGAGACCAATAACCTCCTCAGTGACCTCCAATGTGGTTTCCGAAAAAAACCGAAGTACCATTGACCATCTGGTGCGTCTGGAAGCATTCATCAAAAAATCCATTGTCAACAAACAACATGCAGTATCTATCTTTTTCGACTTAGAAAAAGCATATGATACAACATGGAAACATGGTATCCTAAAAGATTTACACGAGTTTGGATTGAGGGGTAGACTACCTCAATTCATATCTCGGTTTCTAAATAACAGACAATTCCAAGTTCGGGTGGGTTCCACACTGTCTGACTACTTCCACCAAGATCAGGGCGTCCCCCAAGGCAGCATCCTGTCTGTCACACTTTTTAGCATCAAAATTAACAGCCTCACTAACGTTCTGAACAGTTGCGTTGATGGGTCCCTTTTCGTCGATGACTTCAATATTTCATGTCGTGGTAAGAACATGCATGCAATAGAAAGGCAGCTACAACTCTGCCTTAACAAAATCCAAAAAATGGGCCAATGAAAATGGTTTTAGGTTTTCAAAATCCAAAACGAATTGTATTCACTTTTGTCGTAAATACAAACCACACAAGGATCCAGACCTAACTTTAGATGGTACTCCCATCAAAGTAGTAGAAGAGGCCAAATTCCTTGGACTCATATTCGACCGCCACCTGGCATTCTTACCACACATAAAATATGTGAAAACAAAGTGCCTGAAGGCTTTAGACTTGCTAAAAGTAGTTTCAAATACAGAGTGGGAAGGGGATCAGACCACCCTCCTTCACCTGTACAGATCATTAGTCCGCAGTAAACTGGATTATGGCTCCATTGTCTACGGTGGAGCCTGCAAAAGCAATTTAGAAAAATTAGGCTCTATCCACCACCAAGGACTAAGGCTCTGCCTGGGAGCTTTTAGGACCTCTCCGGTAGACAGTCTATATGCGGAGGCCAATGAACCTTCCCTTGAACAACGCCGCATTAAACTCTCACTGCAGTATATCACTAAATTACGTTCAAATGAGTCCAATCCAGCATACAATTGTGTTTTTAACCCGCTCTATGAAAACTTATTTCCTAAACTGCCAAGCCTGGTTCCACCACTTGGAATAAGGATCAAACCACACATATCTGCAGCTAAAATTGATCTCAACATCATTGCGCCTTACCGACTTCTGTCCTCACCACCATGGCAAATGGTGAAACCACAGATTGATCTTACCCTCACCAAACTCAAAAAGTCTGAAACAAATCCCTTGGTGTTCCAACAGGAATACAACCAGTTACGTTCGAAGTATAACACTCACAGATCAATCTTCACAGACGGATCCAAGGACGATGGCCAAGTTGCCAGCGCTACAGTCATTGGAGCCAAGACTGTCTCCTCTAGGATCCCCGACAACAGTTCCATTTTCACCGCTGAAGCCAAAGCTATCTTCTCAGCTCTGACCTACATTCAACAGCAAAATCAGTCCAAAAACTTCATCGTATTTACAGATTCATTATCCTGCCTTCAAGCACTTCTAAACGTGACTTCAAGTCACCCAATCATCCTGGACATATTAGAACTGTACAACGACCTTTCTACTAGCCAATATGACATCATCCTCTGCTGGTTGCCGGGTCACGTCGGCATAGCAGGTAACACTAAGGCCGATGCTGCAGCAAAAGCAGCTCTTGAAAAGCCCCTATCCCCACTGCTAATCCCGTACAGTGATTTCAAACCCACTATCAAAGCTATACTCGGCACTTGATGCAAAAAAGGTGGGACACTCAAGTAGGAAGAAACAAACTCCATGAATTGAAGCCAACAATCGGTTATACCTACTTGGGTTGCCAGTCAAGACGTGATGAAGTAATTTTACGACGATGTCGTATTGGCCACAGTCGGTTTACACATGACTATCTGCTAAAAACAGATGGGGATGGACCCCCCATATGTCTCTCCTGCGATGAGGCTCTCACCGTCAAGCATATTCTGCTTGACTGTGTGGATTTTACATCTGCAAGGGACTCGCATTATCACGCAACCAATCTGAAAGATCTGTTCTCCAGCGTGAGCGCTCATCTGATACTAAACTACCTGAGGGAAGTCGATCTATATCATAAAATGTAACTGTGTAATGTCAATAACGAATGTACCTGCTTTTCAATCTAGTGCTATGACATTCTCTGTTCTAAAATGACAACGTAATGAATGTATGTCTTTGAAACGAAACCACTTTGTACTTACAATGTATATGAATGCAGACTTGTTCTCGTCACTATATGGCTGGAATAATGCCGATGTGACGTAAAGCCCAACTCAACTCAACTCATCTGACAAGAAAACCAGCAACCTGTGAAGCTCGGTATCACAAGCCT